ACGAATGATTATTTTTTTTTTAGTTCAAATTTTATCTCTCTCTCTCTCTCTCTCTCTCTCTCTCTCTCTCTCTCTCTCTCTCTCTCTCTCCTCTTCCGACCCTTCAGGCTTTTACGCCCTTAATGTACGAGTCATAAAGGCAAGTATGAACTTTTCATACTTCCCTGTTGGGCGCTGTAAACGCTTCTGCGCTTCACCTTGCACAGGATGTAAGGGGGTGCCCAATAAACTAGCCCCCTCGGGGGCAAATCTGAATCTGAATCTCCTCTTCCGTGCATCGTCTTTTCCCTCTCCAACTCCTCCTCCTCCTCCTCCTCCTCCTCCCATCTCTAATCGTCTTTCTCTTTTCTATCATCTATTCTCCCTCTCTCCTTCCCTTAGTCACCTTCTCACTTCCTTTCCGTTATTGCCATCTCTTTCACTCCCTTCCTTTCATCTGTCTCTTGCTTCTTCTCCTTCTTATCTCCTCTCCACCAATTTGTCGTTTCCTCACCTCTCACCTTTCTTATTCTTTCCCTCTGTTCTCCTCTTACCTCTCCCACATCTTTCTCTTTTCCTGTTCCCTCTCTTCTCCTCTCACCTTTCACTTTCCCCTTTCTTCTCTCACCCCTCACTTATCGTATTCCCTCCCTCTCCCCTCTTTTCTCCTCTTCTCTCACCCTTCTTTTTCCCTCTAGTCCTCTCATCTCTCTCTCTCTCCCCCCCCTCTTCCGCCCTCACCTCTCTTCCCACTCACTCTTCATATGCAATTTTCCTGCCGCCTCCCCCAGGTGCCAGCGTAGACCCACACCTGAAATACCTGCTTACTTAAACCTCGTAAACCACACAACATTATGACCCGCACCACCTGTCTCTAATGACCTCACACACACACACACACACACACACACACACACACACACACACACACACACCCCCCTTGTTCAGTATAAACTTGTTTTATTTGATACCTCTCTCTCTCTCTCTCTCTCTCTCTCTCTCTCTCTCTCTCTCTCTCTCTCTCTCTCTCTCTCTCTCTCTTTGCCTGAGTATCTCTCTTTAAGTCACCAGCTGCGCCACACAAGACAGGATTACCAGCTGCGCCCCAAGACAAGATCACCAGCTGCACACCAAGACAGGATCACCAGCTGCACCCCAAGAAAGGATCACCAGCTGCACCCCAAGACAGGATCACCAGCTGTGCAACAAGACAAGATCACCAGCTGGGTCCCAAGACAAGATCACCAGCTGCGCAACGAATCGCCAGCTGTGCCACAATAGGCTCACCAGCTGCGCCACAATAGACTCACCAGCAGTTGTACCACAATAGACTCACCAGCTGCGCCACAATAGAGGTTCACCAAGACAGCCTCCAGCCCGGCGTAAAAGCTTCGTTAGCACGGTAGGTAAACACGAGATCAAATTAGTGAACACCTGATACCTTATATACCCCCTCAAGCTGGTAACTGCTCCAGTAAACAAACCACCTAAGGAAACCAAACAAACAAAGTCTCTCTCTCGCTTTAACAACAATAACAAACAAAAAACAAACAATGATACCGTTTTCTGTTTCATGTATAGAAAATGTGGTTAGTGTGTTAGTTCTTTATAATGTATTTATATCGTTCATTTTGTAATTACTATTGATATCACCATAAGATTAGACACACTAGTTTATTCCACCTGATGTTTAAAAACCCTCAAAGTTGCCTGAGGGCTTAGGTTAGGTTGTGTTATGCTGGGTTGGGTTGGGTTGGGTTGGGTTGGGTTGGGTTGTTATGCTGGGTTGGGTTGGGTTGGGTTGGGTTGGGTTGGGTTGGGTTGGGTTAGTTGGGCCTGGGTTGGGTTGGGTTAAACTGGGTTGGGTTGGGTTGGGTTGGGTTGGGTGGTGTTAAGCTAGGTTGGGATTAGGATTGGGTTGGGTTGGTTGGATGGGTTGGGTTGGGTTGGGTTGGGTTAAGGTTGGGTTAAGGTTAAGGTTAAGGTTGGGTTGGGTTGGGTTGGGTTGGAGTTAAGGTGGAATGAGTTGAGTTAGGTTAGGTTAGTTGGATGGGTTGGGTTGGGTTGGGTTGGGTTGGGTTGGGTTGGGTTGGGTTGGGTTGGGTTAGCTTTAGGATATTTAATCAGTAAGTAAAATAAACTGGGGTGTCTATCCATCAAGTGATCCCAATATTTTGCTCTACTTGTGTATAAGTGCGATAAAGCGTACAGTGAACAGTGAGAGTAACACACAAACATTTACTAACATAACTAACACTAAATCATCCTTTATTTATTTATCTATTTTACAATTTGTGTGTTGTGGAAACTAAGATTTAATAAACAGTGCTTAATAACCCAAGCAGGTGGATCACTTGTCCTTTAAAACATCAACACCGAGCTCTTCTTTACGTGATAATTGTGCTGTATAATATCCCTTCACGGTAATGGTGCGTTTATGGTGCGGTCTAACGAGTGGAAGACTTGGGTGCATCAGTGCGGCAATAACAGTGGTGAGAGACAGACACATAGGTAAACAAACCTCTTCCGAACGTGACGATTGTTTTAGTGAAGGTCTTGACTAGGGCCCTGCCAGCTGCTTCTAGGTCCTGGTTCTTATCCATGTCCACACCCACTCCTCTCACCCTTATCAGCGTCCTTTTCTTCACTCTATGTCTCCCCCGCTGGTAGATGGTACTTTCATCATCACCAAAATCATCGTCATCGAGGTCGTCATCATCATTATCATCATCTACACATTGATGACCACAAGACGATTTTTTGTTCTTGGTCGTGTTACCTCCCGCGTCACCATCATCACCACCATCACAACCACCATCACTCATATTCTCAGAGGTGACTTCAATCTTGGACCTGTGGTGAAGCTCATACGGGGACCCCATTTCCCCCCTGTCACCATCCCCTGTCTTATGTCTGGATCCGTTTCCGTCACAGCAAGAAAATTTTGTCGTCTGTTCCACTTTCAGGTTTTCATCGCCATCATTACACTTATCGTTTATTATCTTTGTTCTCTGTCCACGACCTTCTGTTTGCCAAGGGGTGAACTTAACCTCCACCTTCCCTCTCTTTTTCCCCTTTGGTTTATCACTATTATACTTCCTGTCCTCAAAATCATCACCTTCTCTCTTGGATGTCACCGTTACCTCGATCTTTCTCGGTTCATCGTATATATACGTCTCACTTTCCCTCGTCAATGTCTCGCCTTTCCTGTCATCTCTCGTGGGGTCTTTCGGCTCGGTGCTCTGACGGAACTCCCCAATTGTCTCATATATCTGTCCATCATCATCTTGTTCTTGCTCTTCCTCTACTTCTTTACCCCCTCTTTCCTCCTCTTCCTCCTCCTCCTCCTCCGTCAAGGTAGAGGTGCTGCCTCTCTTTGGTATGGCACCAGTCGAGTAGAGGCTTCCATCATCTCCATCTTCTTCATTATTATCACCTTCGAAGCGGACCCTCAAACCTTTCTTCCCAACCTCTTCGTATATCCTCTCCGAATCTTTATCTAAATTCTCATATATGCCTGAGCCTTTAGTATCTTCGTAATGAGCATCTTCATAGTCGGCATCTTCTTCTAATTCAACGTCGAGGTCCCTATCATCACAGACGGTATCGTAGTGAGAAGAGTCAGGGGTGGGCGGAGGGGGTTCACCAGCCGCACTCTGCGCTTCTTTAGGAGTTACCCCTTCATCATCCCCACTCTCACCTTGTTTTCTCTCATGGCCGTCCTCATCCCGCTTTCTATGGAAGGCCCAACCATGGCTCGTCACGCTTCCATCACCCCTCCGTACCGTCACGCGAACTTTGACACGCCTTCTGGTAATTATCCTCATTATGGTGCCTATACACTGTTCCCTATACCGGAAGATCTGTGTTTAAGCTCTCAAGGTGTCCAAGAAACACAATGAAAAGTCGTAATACAGTTCTGAAATACACGAAGCAACAACAACAGCTATAAGTTTCTCGCCTCAACAACAAACACATGGAAAGATCAACACAACGATTCCCATAATATCGTAATTAAAGCAACGTTCGCCAAGTCTTAGTTTTGGGTGCTTTACAACGTTCACCAAGGGTCTTTAAATCTCCGTTCACCAAGTCTTAGTTTTTGGTGCTTTGCAACATTCACCAAGGGTCTTTAAATCACCGTTCACCAAGTCTTAGTTTTGGATGCTTTATAATCTGTCCCAAAGGCCTTTAAACCACCGTTCATCAAGTCGTAGTTTATACTGTCAACAAAAACTTCTAAACTAAACTAAACAAAACAAAACAAAAGTTGGTAAACAAAAGTATTATGATTTTTTTGACTTCCCGGAAACTTCTCTCCATTCTCCTCTTCTTCTTTTTCTTCTTCCTCTTCCTCCTCCTCCTCCTCCTACCATCCTCTACTTACAGATCTTCCTCCTCCACCTACTGTTCCTGCTCTTCATCCTTTTCTATTCACTACCATGACCGCACTACCATGACCCCACTACCATGACCCCACTACCATGACCCCACTACCATGACCCCACTACCATGACCCTACTACCATGACCCCACTACCATGACCCCACTACCATGACCCCACTACCGCGGCCCACTACCGCGCCCCACTACCGCGGCCCACTGCCCACTGACCCCACTACCGCGACCCCACTACCGCCCCACTACCATGACCCCACTACCATGACCCTACTACCATGACCCCACTACCATGACCCCACTACCATGACTCCTCTCACTCTAAAAAAAAAATCATTGACGTAATCTTTTTCCCCTTAAGTAATCAACCGAACAACTTTTCCCAGAACTGAAGAGAAAAAAGAAAAAATGTCGGTCACCATTATGTAAAAAGAAGAAAAATATTGACATTTGGAAAATATTTTTATCTTCTACCGCTTGCAATCATCCGCCATGAAAGTCGGATGGACAGACGGATGGACAGACGGATGGACGGACGGACGGAAGGAGAGACGGGAGGATGTAGACGGGTGGTGTTATCGTGCGGTAACAGAGGCTTTGGGAGGGGGAGAGGAGGAGGCGGGTAAAGGGGCAGTGGGAATTTTCTGGGGGAGAAGAGGGGAGGAGATCTGGGGAGAAGGGGGAGGATTTGGGGAGGGATAAGGAGGGATTTTTGGAGGTGGTATGGGGAGGTGTACGGTGAGAGAAGAAGGGGGAGAAGGGGAGGGGAAGGACCTGGAGAGAGGAAGAGAGAGAGGAGGGTGGAGGGAGGAGGAGAACCGTTGAAGGGAGGGAGGGGGGGGGTGGCGTGTGCCACTATGTTGATGTGGGGAAGGGGGAGATACACATCCTTTGTGGAGTCTCTCTCTCTCTCTCTCTCTCTCTCTCTCTCTCTCTCTCTCTCTCTCTCTCTCTCTCTCTCTCTCTCCGAGTTAACAATGTAATTTTTATTTCAATTCCATACTTTATACACAAATTTATCTATTTGTGTCAATTTACTTTATTCATTATCTCCATAAGAAAGAAAGAGAGAGAGAGAGAGAGAGAGATTAACTCGTCTGGTTTTAATTCCAGTTTCGCCAGTCGCCCCACAACTTATAACACAAAATATAAAACCCACACATTCATCTTCACAATCACCATCTATGTTAACATCTCTCTAAAATTCTATTATATCTAGTAATTTATATACCCATAAACATTAGGATACTCCTCTGTTTATCACCGTTATGAAACACTGTCAACAGGTAAGTGATGTTCGTTTAATTACCAGCACTAAACACAGCGTGGGGACGTTATTAACATTCTAGGCGCCATTATAAACATTAGATTCCTTTATAAATATCAGACTCACCATAAACATCAACTACGCCCCTATAAACACTAACTACGCCCCTATAAACACTAACTACGCCCCTATAAACACCAACTACGCTCCTATAAACACTAACTACGCCCCTATAAACACTAACTACGCCCCCATAAACACTAACTACCCCCCTTTAAACACTAACTACGCCCCTATAAACACTAACTACGCCCCTATAAACACTAACTACGCCCCTATTAACACTAACTACGCCCCCATAAACACTAACTACGCCATTATAAACACTTCCAACACACCTGAAGGAGTCCTCTTACTCACCACATAACGCCACTATCATCACCCCAGGCACGAGGCCAGTACTATCCCTCTCACCCCTCTCATTCCCGCCTCATGTCACTCCTTCCTCCTTCCCTCCACTCCTTCTCCTCCTC